TGGTGTGATAACGTCCTAAGTGTTGGATTAGGATCCTGAGAGACCAAGGTTTGAATCCTGGCTTGGCCAAGGAAACCTACTGGGTAACCTTTGGCAAGTCGCAATCTCTTAGCCTCGGAGGATGGCTATGGCAAACCCCTTCTGAAGAAACTGCCAAGAAAACCCTATGATAGGTTCACCTTAGGGCTGCCATAAGTCAGAAACTACTTGAAGGCACGCAACAGCAGCAGTAGCAGCAATGGTGGTGGTGGTATATGGTTCAGCAGCTCAAATAGCCGAAACCTGGGGCAAATTTACCACATCACTGCTAGGGAAACCACCAGCCTTCACAGGATTTAGTAGACAAGAAAGAACAACATGCTCCTATTTATTCTTGCATGAACTGCTTGGGATATATATATATATATATAGAGAGAGAGAGAGAGAGAGAGAGAGAATGCTGATGCATCCTGGAGCTTTTCCCAAGTGTGTTATCCTGCCCTTGCATCTTACATAGAAGTGTAAGTATCTCTCCACTTTCAAATTGGCAGCCATTCAGTTTATCTCTCTGCACACTGTCTTATACATATCTTAATACCAACAGAAAGGGGCAGAGGGAGGATGGAGAAAAGAGAAAGAATTTTATAAACAAAAGATTGCCTTAGCCACATTTATGTTTGCATCTGGCTTGTGCTGCAAATGAATTGTTTTAATGCTGTTATCTGCCCCAAGGCTTTGGAGATAGGGGTGTGTTAGAAAACATAACAGAATAAGACCAAATCTGAGTGGATTTAAGCTTTCTTGGCACCAGAAAATGGCCTCATTGTGATCCTTGCTGACCGTGTCGTGGTAAAGGGATAAGTGGAGACAGGCGTGTATTGCCACATTGTAAGGCTGCATTCTCTGACTTCTCTCTCTGTGGCTGCATCCACACTGCAGAAATAATACGGTTTGACACCACTTTTAACTGCCATGGCTCAATGCTATGGAATTCTGAGAATGATAGTTTGTTGTGGCACCAGTTAAAGCAGTGTCAAACCGGATTATTTCTGCAACGTGGATGTCTCCTGTGTTGCTGGCCACCCTGAGGAAAGCCAATGTAATCAGAACAATGAGTTGCCAGTCTGTGTCATCCCCAGTATTTCTTTAAAAAGGAGTTGTTGTTGCTGTTGTTGTGTGCCTTCAAGTTGTTTCTGACTCATGGCGACCCTAAAGCCATGACCCTAAGGGGTTTTCTTGGCATGTTTCTTCAGAGGGGGTTTGCTGTTGCCATCCTCTGAGGCTAAGAGATTGTGACTTGCCCAAAGTCACCCAGTGGGTTTCATGACCGAGTCAGGATTCGAACCCTGGTCTCCAGAGTGGTAGTCCAATGCTCAAACCACTACACTATACTGGCTCCTGGATCACTTTGCCTGCTCCTTTTATTTGGATGCATTAACTGTATTTCTGTGTTGGGTGTTGGACTACCACTCTGTAGACCAGGGTTTGAATCCTGGTAAAAGTTTAAGCTAGAAATTTGGGGAACACAGGTAAGTTTCATTGGGTGGGCAGAAATCTTATTTGAGGGGGCAATGGTGGGGGGTGTCCATGTGTATGTGTGTATCTATATGTCTGTCTCTCTCTTACACACACACACACTACATCATAGATTTCAACTGACCTATGGTGAGCAGCAGGAACAGGATGAACAGATGCCCTCCTTTTCCAGAACAGATCCTACATTTCAACCTTCTCTCCAGGAGGAATTCCAAAATTCCTTTCATTTTTAGCATGTCTAAGAAGCTCATTGAGTAACACATTTGCTGTTCCCTTTCAAGAAATTCATCTACTTGGCAAATTGTCCTTACTGCAATAGGATGATAGGATGGATCCTTCTAGAGTTTTTTTCCCCCTAGGAGCAGCAGCAGACAAGACTCGCACCCAGAGCTCAGGGTGTGTTTATTTCTCGAAGGGGAAAAGGACAGGAAATGTGTGAGGCCACGGGTTGTTTGAGGACACAATGCAAATGTTGAAAGGGTTTTTTCCCTTATATTTGGTGCAATGGGCAAATGAAAGGGATAATTTAAATAGATTCAGTTCAGGGTTTGTTGCTAGTAAAGTGCAATTTTCAGCATTTATCTTGCTCAGAAGTTCTAAAAGTATATTGCAAGACAACAGAGCATTTTAATGAAGAGAAGTTCATCAGAAAAATACGATTGAGTACAAAATAAAACATAATATATGTAACATAAGAGAGCTAGCATGGTTTAGTGGTTTGAGCATTGGACTATGACTCTGAAAACCAGGGTTCGAATCCTGGATCAGCCATGTAAATCCACAGGGTGGCCTTGGGCAAGTCACACTCTCTCACCCTCAGAGGATGGCAATCCACTCTGAAGAAACTCACCAAGAAAACCCCATGATAGACTTGTCCTAGGGTCACCATAAGTCAGAAATGACTTGAAGGCACACAACAATATATAATATAGTCGTAAATAAACCATATGAACTAAATTGCTATTTATATGAGTGTTTCTAGCTTTTGTTATGTAATGTCCTACATTTTCTTTGATGCCCTGCAATTTAATGGTGTCTTATCCTCCTATGTGGTTATGATATCTGAGCAGGAACCCCATTGGTACGTACCCCCAGGTAAACTGGGTTTGCTTTTGTCATCCACTGAATAACATCAGACTTTCCCGTTATGCTATCAAGAGTGGTCCATTCTAATTATTACATTACATTTTGGTGTAAGCTAAGTTTAAGTATGGCATCTTTATCCCCCTCCCCTTTTCCATTGCCTCCCTTTTTGTAAGTTGGTTTAACATCTTCCTGACATTTTCTCATCCAGCTAATCTGAGAGGATCCAGTTACCAGCCTTGCCTGGGTAGCAAAATATATCACCAGCCTTGTTGTGGTGCAGTGTGGTGGTGTATTGTGTTTTGTGGTGCACGAGAGGATTAGAGGAGGCACTTCGCTGACTGCCCAAGCTTGAAATCTGTTACTTTCAGGAATTATGAGCAGTGATTTTATCGCTGCTGCAGGCGGCTTGTGAGCTGTACATTTTGACAATCCGGGAATGAACCATTCTTTTTCACAGATGCCGGTCTTCTGATGTTTCACCAAATATGCTTGGCCAGAAAATTTTCTCTCTCAAAATTATCCCCAGTTGTGTCCTTTTTCATGTGCAAGTCACACAACCCTCTCCTCCCTATACAGACCTGTTGCTCTTACCACCATCTGCCAAGTAACTGTAGGCTTTTTGTTTTTACAAAAAAGAAATAAAGGCAGGGAAAACTTTGTGCATGCCACCCTTTGAAAATGACTTAAGATGGACAGAAATGTCTCATTAGTACAAGTGTGAGGTGGCAATAACAAAGTGAAGTTTTACGTATTCTTATTTGGGAGCATAGCACATCGAACACAGTGATTCTTGCTTGTGAGTAGCCATATCGAATCTTATTTGTTGCGGCTGTGTGCCTTCGAGTCATTTCCACTTTATAGCAATGGTAACGGTTTTCTTGGCAAGTTTCTTCAGAGGTGGTTTGCCATTGCCATTCTCTGAGGCTGAGAGAGCGTGGCTTGCCCAAGTTCACCCAATCGATTTTTATGCTCAACTGTGGAATTAAACACTGATTTCCAGAATTGTAGTCCAGCACCCAAATCATTACACCACACTGTCTCATGGAACATTGTAGTCTTGTTTACAAATATTTTCCACCTTGCAACCATCTCTCTGAACATTCATTCTAAGGGTAAGAAAAGTAAAATCCCACTATGGGACTTCAAAAATTTCAGCAATTGCATTGAACGATTGAGAAGCTCATACCTGCCAATTGTCCCAATTTGGCCCAGACAGAGCTGATTAATCCTCTGTCATCCCACTTTTTCCAGAGGGTCTCATGGCCCAGTGGAGAATCGAATTCAGATCTTCAGAGTCATATCACATCACTCAAGCCACTATGCCATGCTGGCTCTCCCTATAGGAATCTATTTTGGGCTATTTTTTTTTCTTTCAGCCAGGACTACTATAGAGGCTTATAGTCCACAAAAATGGCTTTTGGGGGTACAGCAGGCTGTGGGCATCATAATTCCCACTGCTACCATAAACTCACTGAGTTAGATCAATCACTAGCATGATGGGATATAAGATATCTCTCAGTCAACTGCAATATGAGAGCTACATATCCTCCAAACATCCTAATTTTGTAGACAGTCCTGATTCATCCTCTGTCAGCCCACTTACTCAGTTACTTATCAAATGTCCCAGTTTCTCTCTCCTCCTCCCACTTTCCTACTTTGCCCTCTACTTACATTAATTACTGCTAAATGAGTTAAAAGTACAAATGTAGTTTCTACTTAATTCAGCAGGGAGAGGGGAGCAAGTGGAGTCTTGCCCTTTCCAATAGGCTCAAACAAAAGCAAACTGCTGCAGCCTCTCCTAGCCAAAAGGGCCAGCCTGAGGGTGGAGTTGAGGCATGGCAACCATATGCCAGCTGCCCCAACTCCACCATAATGCTGCCGCCATGCTGCACACCCAATCAGATGGCAGGTGGTGTCAGGGCACTCCTGTGATGCAGTGTTCATGCACGCTGTGCCAAAGAAGTGCTGAAAAGCTGCTGATGTGGTGACAAGGGTGGCTTTTTGCCACTCTAAAAAGGAGTGGCATTTGCCAGCTCTTTTTAGAGCAGCAAACCACTGGACTGGACCTGTGGTTTGTGGTTGCAATGGCCCAAATCTGACAAGGAAAGGGATGTCGGGACACTGTCCCTTAGGGGCCATCTGTTCAGCCCCCTAGTTTGCTTCTTCATTAATAACTTTTCCCATCTTGACCACACTCTGATGTTGCTCTGACACACACATCCCAGTTTTCATCTGTGAAATACTGTCAGGTATGGAGCTGACCACCTCTTCATCTTTCCCTAACAGGATTGCCAAGCCTATGCTCCCATACCAGCCTATGCTCCATGTCTTTAACAGCAGGTTGATCTGCAGATGGAATGGCTAGGCAGACAAATCTAAGGGCCTCTGCAAACCAGCCCAAAGGGCCGGCTGGAGGCAGAAATGGGGATGGGCAGCCACACACCATTCACCCCAACCCCAGCCCAACAACATCCTGACACGCTGCGCCGGAAGGGGCAAGAAAGAGCTGTGTGCCGGCTCTTAGGGTGCTCTTTTGCCACTCTTTTTGGGGCAGCAAAAGGGAGGATCGGGGCTGCAGTGTGCGGTAGCCATGGCCCCAATCCTCCACTTCTTGGGGCAGCCTAGAGGCGCCTGTCTGCAGCCCCCCTAAGTGTCCAAAATAGCCAAGGGCAGGTCGAGCTGACGCTAAGCCAGTTCAAGGCATGCTGAATCTAAATCCCTCCTAATTTAGGGATGGTGGAAATCTGTAGTTAGGCCTGCTTTGTGGAGGTGGCCCTAGGCTAAAGGAAAAATTGAACTGATGTAAATTGGTGCCTCCCATGTTCCACTCCTTTTCTGCCTCCTTTTTGTCTCTTCTGCCAGCAGATCTTAGCCAGAAGACTAGTTTTGCTGTCAGGTGGCTCTGTCAGTTGATCTCTAGGATCAATTGGCAACAAAATTATAATAAATAGAGCAGCATACTAAAGGGATTTTTCTTCATCTCTAACTTCCTACAGCCAGCACATCTTTGAGTTAGGTTCATACTGATTTCCCCTTGAATGAGCCAATATTTATGGGATGCTTCTTCCATCATGGAATGCACAAGAACTCTTTATGGGAGGTTTAAGGTCAGGAGAACTTTGAATTATGCTTCCTATGGGGGCAAAGAACACTGCCTACCTTTCATCTGCCCCATGAGTAACTGACATTCATATTCCAGTTGAATTTATTGCCACACTTTTGCTCAATGGGCCTTTCAGCTTCCCATCCTGTCAGAGAATCGCAGGAGCTTCTCCAGCCCAAGGATGTAAAAACACCTTTTAGCTTTGCAGCAATGTTCACTGGATGACTAAGACACAGTTTCCACAAACAGTGAAAGTGCCAAGGAGACAAGCATGGTGACAATTCACACTAAAAGGAAAATATTTCATTTGTGCTGACGTAAACTTCAGAATACTGTCCTGTTTCCCTCAGTCCTCCTTTCTAGAAATGGTGTGATTCCCCAGAGCAACTGACTTCAATGCCTTGTGGCTGTGGCTTAGCTTTGAAGCTAAGTTGCAACTGGGAGACAAAAGCATCCACATGGAATTAGCACAACTTTTTTTGCAATAGTCTTTTCTCTGTTTTTAAAGCCATGCCCCACTTTTGACAAACATCAAAATATTATGCCTTTTTCAGACCTTCCTTCCCCCAATAATTGTATTTGAGATCTGAAACAATAAAAATAATGTCATTACTAAGAAAGAGCACATATTTCTTAAAAACAAGTCATGTGAGACTTATTTATCTATATTTTTCTAGATATGGTAGATCAGAGGAATGCTGTAGATGTAGTGTATCTTGCTTTCAATAAAGTTTTTGACTGGGTCTCCCATGACATTTTTGCAGACAAGCTGGCAATGTATGGGCTAGATGATGCTACTGTCAGATGGATTTGTAACCAGTCAACTAACTGAAACAAGAGTACTTCCTTGTGATCCTAGAGAGAAGTTATAAATTGGGTGCAAAGGGTTCTTCTGTCTGGGCTCAATTTTATTCAACATCTCTATAAATTACTTGGATAGTGGAATAGAAGGCACATTTTTGAAATTTTCAGGTGACACCAAATTGGTAGCAATAGCTAAAATCTCTGAATCAGGATTCAAGCTAACATTGACAGATTGGTAAACAGGGCCTAAACCAGCAAAATGCATTTCAACAGGGATAAATGCAAGGTACGGTCATCCCTTTGTATCCACAGGGGATCTGTTCCAGACCTCACCCCTCCCTGCAGATAACAAAAAAACACAGGTCCTTAAGTCTCATTGTTTTCTATGGCAGTGCGGTGTGCATGTGGCTGCTAGTGAAGCTGGATGCATGCACCTCCATTACAAACAATGGGGGCTTGCCATCTGCAGAAGATCAAACCCATGGGTGGTAAGTCCACAAATAAGAAAAGTGTGCTGTACTCTAATTGGGCTGGGGGGGGGATGCTCAAATATAAAACACACAACACTTGGCTTCCCGATAGGTTGGATGGTTTTGGAGACAATGTGAAAAGCTCCCAATAGACATTTTCCAGAGCAGAAAGTTGGATGGATGTACTCATCAAGAGTGATTTGATTCTCTCTTTCACACATTCACCAGCCCTCTCAAGCCAGAAGATACTTTACCAGAACTGAATGGTCTGAAAGCACTTTGCTCCCTATGGTGTTAAGTTCATATA